ATCGCTTGCTAACCTTTGTTTGCGTACAGACGGCTGGCCCGTCGCTCTGAAATACAGTCTTCTAAACCAGCACCGTAAACGAGTCCGAGACATAACAAAGTCTGTTTCTTATGCACCATTCAAATCCCGTTGGCGCCACTTTGCTTCTCTCACCTAAAGCAGTGCTTTCGAAGCTTCTAAACGTCCGAGCCGCATGAGAATGTGCTGCGAACTTCTCAAAGTGAAGACCAGAGAAGCTGTCAGGGAAATACTTAGTAAAATACGCTTAGATTCTGAAAAGCTGCGAATAGACCAGTGGCAGTTGAATTGCGTCTGTGAAGCTTCCGTCGATACAGACGCCAAATCTGAGCCAGTGCAAATGAAAAGTGTCAGTCCTTCAAATGAAGATAGAGATTCTAGTGCGCTGCAAAACAGGGGCATTTTTCAAAGAACTAGAACGCATAAAACCCTTCTTATTCACTACGTGATAAGAGAATTAGCAAATTAAGGAGCTATATGTTACACAAAATACACAAGGAAAGAGATTCAAACATATAAACTCCAGTTAGAATCCAATCAGTTTTGCAAGCCAACCAATGTCCACAGTCATTAAACCAAGCATTAATATAAATATAGCAACAACAAATAAAATTTGACAACTTCTACTAATTTGTATAAGAGATATATACAAATGCAGAAAATGATAGTACTGGATTCTTATACCAAAACCCCACTAAGCTGCAAATAAAACAGGCATTTTATGAGACTAAAGACTAAAGCCGTCCAGATACCTTATGTACCCGTAGATGTCTAGTTTTTGCCGTTCCCAACAAGGTTTTTGTAAGGCTAATCGAGAATAGAGTTTGGAAGAAAAGTAGTCGACTAGAATCGTTCCAGAAGTCAAAGCTGCTAACGGTAAATTACTTTTGAAACAGAGTTGGACCCGATACAACTAGAAATACATGAAATGTAATATTTCACACTCCACTAACACATAGAAGGGCAAAAGAAATGAAAAAATTTTTATCCGTAAAATAACTGAGGTACTAAACGCTGATTATCCATACGGGTAAAAAAACTAATTAAAAAAGAGGCTTGTTGGAGGCGTAGTTCCCTATTTTATCGCTGTCAACTTCGAACTCCGGTTCCCAGAATAATAATTCATCCTTCACTACTCGACGGCGTAGTGTTTTTAGTGGCGCCATGTATGCCCTCTTCTAAACGTTGAAGTACACATTTTAGTTTTAAGTGTATTACATATTTTGACTAGAAGTCAAATGCCTTATGAAGAAAGTACTACATAAGTGTATGCTGTCAAAAAACATGGCTTTTATAAAAAACAATAAACGACTCTAACAATATTTAGTTTCCAAAGAAACAGGAGCTGAGAATAAGTAAATTCAGATTTGCGATAATTAAAGTGAAAACTTGCAGCATCTATGTAATAATTCCCCTCTCGATAAGTTAGCATTTTACAATGCCGCAATGTCGAAACAATGTCTTGAGGATGAATACCCGTTTCACAAGTCATTTCTGCAAAATGCGAATTAATGAACAAGGCAAAGTGCACTTTGACAAGGTGCGAATGCGCAGCATGTTATTTCATGTCTTAAGCGATGCTTACAAGTACACAATAAGGAAAAATCTATTGTGTGAAAAAGAAAAATTTTTAAGACTGGATAATGTCGTAGTAGAAGAGTCTAGCACCAAATCTCAGTAGTGCAAGTTTAAAGTGCTCAACAAAGAAACGAACGAAACTACCAACGATTAGTTCCATTCCGAAAAGTTATGACTATTTGTTGTTGCGGCAATGTTATGTTGTTCCTTACCCTTTAGAGAAAAGTCACTCGTGGGTTTTTTTTTCCGTAAATATGAAAACAGCACAGCTCTCCAGTAGCCTCTATAGGTTACTAACCCTAAATCAGAAAGTGGATGCTCTGGGCCACCCACTTTTTTCTCCCGTAGTGACAGTTTATAGCCTGCAAATTTAAAACGGAAAACTCACGAAAGGTTCCAGATATCGAAAACTGAATAGTGTAAAACAGTAATGTATATCTTAAATCCTGAGAGGTTCCCCTAAAACTTACTGAGATCAATAAGATATCGTCCATATCCACGCCTCAACGAAGACGGTAAAGTAAGTAAGCAACTTAAATTGTTGTTTTTGCTGGGAACTTTCTCCTAAATATTCATAGTTCAAAAAACTGAAAAGGCAAAAGTTATAGCTGTTCATTACGACTAGCGCTTCTGCAAGAAATCCATTCTCCTTCCTCCTTCTCCCTGCATGAAAAAAAACTCGGAGAATTTAAAGATAGCTCCAGTGAACGATTAACAGGGATGACTGGGATAACGGGCGAAAAAAAGAAAAAAGAACGAGTGTACAACTTTTCACGAAACTAGGGTTCAAGGAAAATATGACAAAGTGTTCTATAACTGTATTGCGTCTTCTGACAGGAGAAAATAAGTTACTACTTTTACTAACCGAAGGCACCGAAGAAAGGGTAATCAATAATAAAACAACCAAGTCGACTACGCTAGCCCACAGGAAATTCCCATCCAATGGAAAGCTTAGTGAGAACGCAGAAAGAGAAGGGCGGTACATGAGAATGGAAAATAGACAGGAAAGTTGAAAAACATGCTTCTTTCCATGAAGGAAGGAGACGAGTAGGGGATAAGTGATTCCGTAAGATTATGAGTGGTCATTGTTTAAGAGGAAAAAAATTTAAACTGTAAGTACCTTTGAGAAATAACCAATTAATACACATCCGTCAGCAGAGCATTTAGTGAGGAGATAGAATATAAACATTTCTACCTCACGATGCAGGGTTTTTGAAGAAAGAAACAACTTGGCGAGGAGGCAAAGGCGCTGACAATAAGACTAAAAACTTTCTGCTTTGTAAAAAAAACATTCCCAAAAAACCAAAACTATTGAACTGAAGCAAAGGAAATTTACCTTCTCCATCTCACCGTCTACTTCCCAAAACGAAAAAAGCCCTTCTCTATAAATTTCATTCCCGGGAGGGTGTCGCCACTCGCAACAGACCTAGAAAAATGACTTGATTTCCAACATTCTATTAAATTACAAAGAACAGTGGATATGAATATTTGTACGCATGCTTTGGTTCCAAGTTTAGAAAAAAAATTCATTACTAAACCTCTATATTAGATGTGACATGGTTTTAACTCATATCAAACTCGAATGTGGTCGTCATAAATTTGAGACTGTTAAGTAAAAAATGATTACCATGTGGTTCTCGAACTTCACACTGTTTTCTACGGCAGTAAGACAGAACTGACAAACATATAAATGATGAGCGTCTGATAGAAGTTTTGGATAAGGTGACCTGTGCAGAGCTTCAAATTCAGACTCGACGCCAAAGTGCACTAACTGATTTGAAGAAGTGGATAATTCAACAGCAACATCCCTTCTTAAGCTTTCCTGTGCTTCCATCTTTGCCGCCTTGTAACTAAAAAACAGATTTCCACTCTGCAGTGAGACTTAAAAACGACAGCAGTGGAACTGGCAAAAATAAAATTAATACGAATGGTCACATAACTAGTAATCACGTTAGCAAAAAAATCTAACTGACGGTGACAATTACAGTTCTCCAAAATTTCATATTCACAAAAAAACTAGTTTAAATTATGATACTTCTCCAAATCACAAGTGATTGAAATAAGTTTCATCTTAGCCTCTGCAGCTTCGCGACTGGCTGATTCTGCCGCTTCTTTTTCTTCATCACTAAGACACTGAACCTTGACCCCATCAAGGATCTTGCATTCAACAACTGTTTCACGCGGTGATGAATACGTTAAATCATCCACTTTGAGGTATTTCAAAGACTTCTTCGGATAACAGTTTTCTTGTCCCGTACTCTTCCTCAAATCGCGAAACCGACCATTCTCAACCATAAGTCGAGCTTTACATTCGTCTTTTAAGAGATCATTTAACTAAAAAAAATTAAGCACTTTCATCATTCAAAAGAGTAAACATTATACTCACCAAAAAAAATCAAAACAAAGATTCCAAAAAAGCTTGGAGTAACCTATTCCAAATAAAAGACATTCAAATAAACCTCATTGCGTTTTTTTTGTACTTCCGTTTCTTCACCTGCATCCGTCCATGGCTCTGCCAAAAAAGACTTCCGACCCGAACTTCTCCTCCTGACTAAACTTCGTCTACCAACGAGTTTTTCAGGTTCTGTGTGGGAAGTACTAAATTTGAAAACTCATTGGATAAAAACACTTTCAACAAAAAGAAACTTACGGTACATAAAGTTAAAAGCCTTTATTTGTATAAAACAATAATGTTAATGATGGCTTATTCCCCTGTTTGCCAAACAGCCTAAGTTCATCTATTTATTAAGTTCCTTCGTCATCCCATCTTACAAAGAAGTCTAACTTATCAAATGCCTCGAACGATCAAACAAGTCATGCAAAAAAAGTATGTCGACTCATTACAGTGCTCTAAAGAAATAAACAAAGAAAATTAGAGAGAAAATTGAAAACCAACCTTGGTTCAACCTTACAATCTGGACAGTACCATGGTCCAGTAGGAGAGGAACAAACACCCGAGCAATCATCCGGTCGACAACGCCCATGGTACGATCGGTCACAAAAAAAGCACTGAACGTTCTCTGCCTAAATAGAAAAGACCTAACCTTGCAAACGAGAGGAAGAAAAAGTATATAATAACGAACATCATAAACATATCCTGAACACTTCGTACAGAGCACACACATAGGACACTGCCAGTCAACAGAACGTTTTCTGAAAATCATGGAAGCGGATTCTGCCGGATAACCCAAGCAAGTTAAGTGAACTGCAAAGAAACAGAGATGAGAAAGTAAAACGTCATCTTCGGTCAAAATACAAATTTCTTTCGGTTTCTCAAAACTTAGCCCTTAGTCACAAAAATCTGAAGAAAAAAAACACAAAGCAATAAATGGGTCCAATACATCGCTAGGTAAACTAGTGACTTTATAATTATATCTATATCAGACTTACACTCAGAACCACATTCCACGCACGTCATTAAAGACCCCGTATCTAACCTGCAGCGACGACATCTATCCCTGACACGCGCTCTGAATTTGAAAAACATATCACACTGAACTTGACTAGTCATTTAATTGTCTAACAAAAGATGATGGTCCGTCTAAAAGGCCACGATAGATGAAACACAAACGAGAAACGTGAGATGCACTAGTAACCGCTTAACCTCGATATGGCAAAAGCTGAGACCTAACCATCTTGCCAATATCAGTTTATAATTGAAAGTTTAAAAGGGAAAAAATGGAACACCACACTGAACCCTAGGACTCATACGCGGTAATAAATATGTATCCCTTTTTATCAAGTAAGAACCAGGTAATCTAATCTCATTTAAAGACCATAAAGTTACCTCAAATCTTAAAATGTTCTCTAGCAGTAGTCAAAGGCATTATATACTACCAAATAGCTTGAATTCCACTTAATTAAAGCTGTAGTTACAAGTTGGTAACCCACAGGAAACATACTTTTTTTTAACAAAACCTCTCGTCTTTATCGGAGAGTATTCAGAAGACGTGACTTCAGTTTTTCCCTGACGACTCCCACCGGTGTCGTCCCTTCTAGCAACAGATAGAAGAGTATTTCCACTAGAATTTTTATATGCACTTCGTTTCTCATTCCCGTTTAGAACTCGTGAATTTCCAGTCTGCTTCCGTTTTAAAAGCTTTCTATACCGCTTTCTTATCCCCAGTGAACTGAAACAGCACAATCTAGACGAAAATACTACTACGGAGAAAGACTTACCAGTACCACTTACGTTACTTTAACCTTATTGTTGCTTGAGGGTCCACGAAATTCTATTGGAGGAACAGGATTTTTTGTCTTTTTACTACAATTCAGAACCACTTTAAGGTCTCTCTGCAGACCCTTAGCTTTTAGACGCTGCGAATGTCTTCTACGTTGAGAAAATTTTTTTCGCATTAGAAGAAATTAATATTGTTCACGAAGATCTCCGCTGTACTCACGATAAAGTTCTGAAAACCAAAATAACTATTTCAAACTGCAAATAAAATCCGAAATTTCCTTTCGCAAAAATAACTCCACTTATGTGGTGAAACCTTGAACTCGCTTGACAAAAAAGAACTTTTAGAGTAAAAGCTGCGAAAAGCAACTGCAGCACCGCCAGCACAAAAAAAAAAAAA